ATGACATGTATTTATTATTTCCGTTATAAATATTTTGAGAACGGTTGATCGTAGCGACACAGATTAGGTATCCTATAAATATACAGATAAAAATCTTGTCCCTAATTCGTGGTACGAAAATTGTTTTTTATGACGATGTGCAAACGAGTAAAATTTCCTGAAACAGCGTTAACAGCGTAATGGAGAGATATCGGTAAACCGAATAGCGTGCATGGACGTTAATAAGGCCAGGTGTTATTTCCTTTACGTGAGGTGGTATTAACTCTCTTCACTTATAGTTATCGGATCGGAAAGAATTCTGTTCGCGTCGCGTCCGCTATTTAAACTTAACCTAACTTTGAATTTAAAACTTTGAAATTGTTTTGTTTACTAGGTATTTTAAAACTAAAGGGCTAAAGTGCTCATTTCCAATGCTTTATTGTTCAACGTCTGCCAGTGGGTTTAGGGCAACAAGCAGCAAATTCTCTTAGAAGGGCTAAGTCGTCATCTGTTTTAAACCTAAGTCTATTTATAGGTTCTTCAATATTGGAAGAGGTGGAATCCATATTTTGGGCCATATTTATTTAATTAAAACTAATCCCAGCTACTTAAATATCAAATTACCTAATAAAATTAAAGTAATAATTCAAAACAATTCAAACATAACCTAAAATAAAAGATCTCGCCGGCCGGCCCCGGTTGTTAAATACCCGCACCTGCACGCACATGCCCATTTAAGCAATTTTTAAACGTTATTTAGAAATAGCGCTTGGTGTAATTGATCCGCAAATTACGTCAGACGGTAACGTTATTAGCGGGTGTTGCGTTAAAAATTGACTCGCGCATATCGTAATCATGATAAGGTACGCGTAAATACTGCATGACGCTATTCGGTTTTCTGATATCTCTCTAATAACTGTACCGGTCAGGCGCTGTGCACAATATTACAGGCCATAAGTGGGCGTGCTATGTGCGCAAACTAGTAACCTAACTAGTGCCCGATTCCGAAAATTGGAACCACGAAAAACAATAAAGAAAAAACAAAGTTTATAATCTGTATAATCTGTGCTAGCGATTTTTACTAAGAAACCTTTTTTACAAGTTTTTTACGTAAAAAACCTCGTAAATGTATATTTTTTACTCAGTAGCTTTATACAGTTATAGTTATACGTTACGGACGAAAAGTTATTACTCTTCAAAACAGTTAAAACACAGGTAGGTGGCGCCCCCTACAAATAGGAGTCATATTGACATCAAAATCAAATTTCTCATGTCAAAAAGCTTCCGGACACCAATTTTCATCCAAATATTGACGTTACTTTACGTTACTGGAAAAAATCGAAATAAAAATGAAATTTCTACACCCTGTATCTCCAAAACTAAGCTTTTTAGGACATATAGTCTGTCCAACGAGAAGATCCTTGACAGTGATAGATGTGTCTGTCATTTTAATTTCAAAGTAGTTTATTTTATTTTACAAAGAAATAAGTTGGTACAACTGGAACGCATAGCAGGAAATATTTAAAATTTGACTGACAAGTGATTATTTCAAAATATTGTGAAAAAAAACTGCATAAAACTGAAAAAATGTAATCGAGTTATTTTATTTAATCAAAACGGTATGTGTTAATACAAAGCAAACACGAACAAGACACCATATACCAAAAGAATAGAGAAAAGAACTATTTCTTACTTTCAAGCTTTATGAAACTTCCCACATTTATGATTATATTTAACAATATAACTTATATATACAAATACAAATGTTGTTATATTCCACAGGAATAAATAAAACAACATAAATAAAACAAACTATTTTATTAATAATAACACTTACCAAATTTTATACCTTAAAGGTTGATTAATTAACATTAATCTTAATATTTTTAAACCAGTACCTTTTGACATTATTTTTCTGCAGTACTAAAATCCATTATTTACCTATCGTGTGATGTCGATATTTTACAGCTACTCCAGTTTTTAGTATGGTCCTACCATATTCGAGATGCATTTATCTACGACGAGATGGTATACGAACTTTATTGAGGGTAACTTGTAACTTTATTGGTGTATAAGACTTTCTGCTTGGGCAGCGAGTATTAACCATACACTGTGCTCTGGTCTACAGTTAATTTTCACTCAATTTTTCCTCCACTTGACTTCAAAAGACACAAAACACAGGTAATAACACGAATCAAAATGCATCATCTTCCAAAACGCAGGGTATTTGACAAAAGTTGACACAAAATTATAACCTATAATTTGGCAAGACTTTGACAAGCGTCAAAAATCTAAAGGCGAGTTCATACGCATCGGCGTCCGTTTGTCGTTCATCGTTCCGTCAAACCAATAAAATTGAAATACGATCTGTCATTTTTGAAATAAACCAATAAAACTGGTTAAAAACAACGGTGGCGCCCCCTACAAATAGGAGTCATATTGACATCAAAATCAAATTTCTCATGTCAAAAAGCTTCCGGACACCAATTTTCATCCAAATATTGACGTTACTTTACGTTACTGGAAAAAATCGAAATAAAAATGAAATTTCTACACCCTGTATCTCCAAAACTAAGCTTTTTAGGACATACATTTATATACACTTCTTTACTTATTTTTATCTGCAGAATATGCTGCTGAAGTTTCCGGAATACAGTTCGGACCACCCTGTATATAATTTTAGTATATTTTACAAAATGAATAGTTTCAAAAATAGCCAGTCTGTATGATACAGGCTTAGTCCATACTTCGCCGGTGCTGCCATCATCGGAGAATATCGTAAACAAACCTATACATATACAAATACACGCATATACAAATACACGGGTTTAAATAGCCAATACACCAAAAATATGTTAGATAATTGTTCTAAAAATGTTAGGAACTGTAATTTGTGACAATTATACTAATAAAATTAAAAAAGTAAAGATTTTGATATTTTCAGAAGATCTAACTCGTATTATAATTTATTATTCCAGCTAATAAAACTTTTTAGATGAGTTCAACTACGGTAGCGATCATAGAAATACCATTGTCTATTCATAATCAAGAATTTTACACACCGGTGTTCCTACTGGAGACATAAATGGGGCTATTTAGGCTATAACGAAATTTTTTAAAGGTACATACAATAATTAAAACTTTAGACGATGCTAAACACTAGCTAGTTGTAAAAAGTATACCATTAATATTGCAAATTATATTTTATCCTCTCATAGTATATGCCTACTTAATTTTTTGATTATGGTAACGAGCACTACGTAAGCACGGTACGGTTTACTGGTTTCATTGAGTCAAGCAGCTTCATCCATTTTGTTTTGGATTAAATTAGTGTGAGAAGTTGTGAAGCTATAAAGTGTTGTTTTGGTAAAGTTGAATATTCTTAAGAGTTATTGCACCCAGTAACCACGTAATTACGCACTCCTTTTTACGTGTTAACATTTTTTTCGTCAATTTTATTCCCATTTGAAATTGTCACAACATAACGCGTTGCCCAGTTTGTTTGTTTTTTCATTTCTTTTTTACTACCCGAAACAGCGTTACGTCACACAAACTTTGTACTTGAGAATTTTACGGTTTCAATAACTAGGTACTACACTAATAAAAACTAATATATATAGAGTCGAAAACTTATTAATTACTAATTTCTGCCGTATCGAGCGCTGTGGTCGGAATTTTTAAAATCAACTGAAATGCACCAAGCCTATGGACCAGTAATTTGTATTTATTGCTACAGATGAAAGTTTTTAACAACAAATACAATATAATCGAGGAAAAAAAACGGCATCAGCTATGACTACGAAATGAAGATCGCTGTCATTTTATATGGGAAATGGCGATCGTTCTTTCCAAACCTATAGTACTTATCTTGGTACTTAGAGAGGTAGTAGATACGTAGATATAAGTAAAGTCTATCTGTCAGAGTACTCAGGGAAGATTCCGACAGCCGACATTCAAAAAATGATGGATAATATGGTTTACCTCTGTGAATTAAAATGACAGACACAGCTATTATTAATTATTACGTATATATTTTTATCGGTAATTTTTGTCCAGTCTGAGAAGGGGCTAGTTAAACAGACGACAGATGATGACATCCAAAAAATGAAATCAAATAAAAATAGTTTAAATTGAAATGACGGCAATAGATTATCATTATGCCGTATTAGGTACCCCTATTCCTATTATTCTCTAACTCTGGCTGTAAAAGGGCTGTACAGATTATAGACAACAACATTCTATATCAGATCTAATCAAGACTGCGTTATCATCATTTTTGAAATATGTTAAGCTCTATTTTATTTTTTTAGTATAATTTACAACGGTTATTTCTATAGTATTTATATTCTTTGAAGAAAAGAAAATTTATCTCATTTTTTTGGCTCACCCTATATTAAATAACATTAATCACGTACGCCATATTTTTTTCCTCCTTGCCAAAGGGTATGTTGGTAGTATATTTAAGCAGTTTTAACTTGAATTCGATTGCAAAAATATAAATTTCTTGTAAATATACATCTTAATAATAAAAGAATAACATTTTAATGCAAATTATGAAAGAAAAATACTAATTTCCGTTATATTACTTAAATATAAACTACCGGCCTCCCCTCGATTTGGAATCGCCCAAGTTATTGATTTTAAATTTCAAAAATAAGAAAAGTTATGTTTTACAATTAAATTTCATAAAGGGATGTAAGATATTAGGTATATATGCATAAATAAACATAAAATATAATATTTTAATGGATTTTTAAAGTGTTTGAATATTATATCTTTATTATAAACAAGAAAGCTTGGCAGCCATGTTTAAATGGCTGTTTACGTGAGAACTTCCCGGCAAAATAAGAATGATTTATTTCGGAATTATTTAGTTTATTTAGAAAGGACAAGCTAATGTAAAAACTAGTGAAAATATCGTATTAAGAAATTAGATAATTTTTATAGCCTGTTATTTACAAACTTTATTTTTCAATTGCACAGGTTAAATTAAACAAAATATTCCAACATTGCCATGTGCCTTCCTCTCCGTTCGGACATTTTCAGTCGCCGGCGACGGCTCAGCGATTTCACTGGCCAATAAGATTCGCGCGGGAAGCACACGTGACATAGTTTAACCAATTGGGATGTGTGGATTTGAATTCCCTCTTCGTTTTTCGTCTATTCTAGGACTTTTGTATACATTCGTCGGGTGTATAGTGCTGTCAATGTTAAAATGTGTTTATGTTCAATTTTGTGGGAATAATAGATAGACATAAGTAATTATCTATACTGACATATTTTGTAAGTATGACCCTTCATTTCTACATCTGTTTCAAGGGATTTTTCTGTTAGGAAATCCTTAGAAATTGAGAAAATTAGCTTTTATTACCGCCAGTTTATAATGGAATCGTCCTAACGTCCAATCCCGCTCTTTTGTGTAAGCGCATGGTTTTTTACTACTTCCGATAAGTTTAGGAATATTATACAACACAAATAATTACAATGTTGTTGTCTAATTCTATTTTATTTTTGTACTAATGTCAGTCACTGTGTGACGTTTAAAATGCATGAAAATATCAAAATATTCATTAATCTGTCTGTTTATGTTATGAATCTTGATCACAGTAGCCAAACCAAAACTAACAAGGAAATTGTCTTATACCTACCTATACGAAAATATGTATATTTAAAAGTTTAATTTGATATTTTCTATGATGGGAAATAAGATTTGTTGTATTTTTCGGGATGGCGGGAAAACATCATTGCTACTTCAAGGTCAAGGAGGCATTGCAACGTCTCATTCATTGAAGTTTCATTGCTCCCAAATCCCGCCATTTTTCTTTAACTTCGAGACGATAGTCTTGAGAAGGTTGTTCAATTATTTCATAAAGGTTTAATTGTTATGTTTTTTAAAATTAGTGATGTACATTTCTATGGTATTTTATTATTGTAGGTATGGAATAATGAATTAGTTCCATTATAAACTCTTATAAAAGGGCTTAATAAAAAAAACTACCGTTGATTGAAAGAACGGGGCTATTACATTACAATGTTGTGGATTTTATTACTGTTTTTTAACTGTTCTATTAGAATTATAAATGATTGTGTGGATACTTAACCCTCCATATTTTTCTATAATATGGTTCTGTAATAATTTAGTAATGTTTACTCCTGATTAACTAAAGTATCTTATGGCGAATTACAATTAATTTAACTAGAGAATTTTGACTTAATCTAGAAGGCGAGGAACTTTTATATTTTATATCCTTTTATGTTATTACATATTACCGATATACCGATACGAAATTTTCATTCCTCCATCATGAGCAAGCTCGACACGGACCAGAGACGGTCGGCATTATAAGATAAGCAACGTTGCCAATAGCTTTGGTTATGACGGGAATTTTTTCCACAAGTCGAGATTTATTGTTACAGTAATTTATTTCTGTAACCATAAATCTCACCATCCTCTTCTCTAAAGTATCATACAGTGGAAATGCAATCGGAATAAAAATATTTATTTACGGTAATTATTAGGAAAACTGGAAATCGTCCGATTTTCACCAAAATTGGTATACACCCTATTTTGAGGTCGTAGATCACGAATCTGAATTTAATTTTAACTCTTTTTCTGGCGGTTTCTTACCGTTTTCAGAAAAACGACATTGAATTTTTCTTAATTTCTCATATTTTTAAGGTTTTCTAGCACATATTTTGTTAGGTATTCAATAAACAATGATGTTTTTGATATTTTCTGTTACTTTTTAACCAATTTTATGCATAATAATAGAGGAAAATTTGCTAAAATAAATTTGTAAACAAACTGAAAATGTTGGGTTATGTGTTTCTGGCATTTAAAGCAACGTTGCCAAAGCTAAACCTAAATTTAGGGTGTATTTTTCGCTTATTCTGGGATTACGAAAGGCGGTCACCAGAATAACGGCTCCTTCCCATAACTGCTATTTAACCAACGATATCTGACTATTTATAACCACGAAGTTGCACGAAAGAGTTTTGATTGCATTGGTTACAACTTCCATGCGGAGGGTGTTAATCTTTTGTTCTTATATTATACCTATACTTATATAAAAAAAAAGATTAACCCCCTCCGCAAAGAAGTTGAAACGAATGTAATCATAACTCTTTCGTGCAACTTCATGGTTATAAATAGTCTTATTGATAGTCTTTATATAACTTCTTTGCGGAGGGTGTTAATCTTTTTTTTTAATATAATATAACAATAAAGATTAACCTCTACCCCCTCCGCCTAGAAATTGAAACCAATGCAATCAAAACTCTTCTGCGTAACTTTATGGATATAGGTAGGTATATTTAACTACTGTCAGATCTCATAATAGGTAATTTATTCAAAATCCCTAATCACCCGTCTCTCTCATTACATAGGAGAGAGAAAGAAGGATATATGAAATGTCAAACTTCCATCTGGTCTCAATTTTCTTTATTATTTTATTAAGAAAAGTGTTTTTCAGTAAAATTTTGGACATTTTTCTATCCTCAACCAAGTGTGGCTTTTAGATAAACTATAATAGAATGAAAATATAGTGAAATTATTACTTTACTAGTTGAAGCCTGGCGCATCCGCCACGACATCAGGAAAAAAATACTTTTTATTTTTTTTAATTAAATGGAAAACAAAAAATCCGGCGACGACAGTTTTTAGAAGAACAAATTAGCTATCTTTTAGTAAAAAAAGCAACTTTCTAGAGCAAGTCGTTACTTCAGTAGAGACGACACAGATAAACATTAGCATTTTATATATGTAGATACTAGTTGAAGCCTGGCGTATCCGCCACATCAGGAAAAAAAAACTTTTAATTTTTTTTTAATTCAATGAAAAACAAAAAATCCGTCGTCGACAGTTTTTAGAAGAGCCAATTAGCTATCTTTTAGTAAAAAAGCAACTTTCTAGAGCAAGTCGTTACTTCAGTAGAGACGACACAGATAAACATTAGCATTTTATATATGTAGATATGTAGATAGGGCCGAAATAAAGAAAAATTCAATGTTGAAATTATTTTCCGTTTTTCTGAAAAACGGTAAGATACCGCCAAGAAAAAAGTTCAGATTCGTAATCTACGACCTCAAAACAGGGTGTATACCAATTTTGGTGAAAATCGGACGATTTCCAGTTTTCCCAATAATTACCTTATTTACTGTCTCAGAGCATAAATGTTATATAATATATTTATTAATTGGAGAAATATCAAAGTTTTAGGAATGAACTGATAGTTACATTATATTCTCTGATATGTCATAAATGTTTAGTCTTGCCCCGTTCTCAGAACTGCGTCGTGTCGCTGGCTACACAGTTTGACATATCAAACAACCAATGCGAGCTGTATCTGATGTTTGAGAGATATTAGTGCAGCAAAATAAAATAAAACACTAAATAACATCAAAGATTAGTTTCATAATTAATTAGATGATCAAAACAGTTTTAAAAATATAGATATTAAAACATTTTATGATAATAAAAAAACCGGGCAAACATTCTTTAGCCCAAAAATTTTTCAGACTTCTACAAACTTATTTATATTTATATAATTATATTTATTCATATTTTTACTAATAATAGCTTATTTGTCAAGATTTGTATTACGTAGATTATACAAATTTCCAAAATTACTAGTTCTTTTTAAAGTTCTTTTATGTTGCATACATTTATTTTCATCCTATGTTTTACGAAGATAATAAAAATCTGACAACAGCGCTGTATTTTTTAAAATGCCGGGCAGCCATCTGCCAATGTACAGTTGCGCCATGAAAAGGAACGAGCCGATGTCGGCCGAAAGGAGCTGTTTGTTTTCGTCACTATTCCAGCGAAATGTTATATCTGTTTTTGTCCCACTCGTTTATGATTCTATTTGTTGTCTCTCTTGTAAATGATCCGGGTCCGCTAATTTTACTCCGCTCGATCTATCGGATGGAAACTGAGAATGCCAGTCTAGACAATTTCAATCTATACCTTTTTGACGTCGATGTTTTCTATACAGTGGCACAAAAATATATGTTTTACAAATTTGTATTATTTTTATTCAAAGGCAGAAATTGGTTACTACTTGGTAAATGATTTAAAAGTGATGTTTTACGAACGCAATATGGAATCATTTATGAGCGAATTTATAAATACGTATGTATTTCGTTTGAGACGTTTTTTTAATGATTTTTTTAATGTGTAAAAAATCTTTTTATAAAGTATAAGCGGAAACATATACTGCTATAACATTTTGAGCTAGTTGAGAAAAATTCGGTCTAAACAATAAACAATGAATAATATGTATTAAAGTCTTTATTCATTTTCAATAAAAGTATTTATCCCTTGCTCTTGTATTTTTTAATGTCCCTAATAAAATAAATATGACACATTTATACAAGAAAATAGTAATTATCCTCTAAGACGACATCTAAGGGTAGGATTATCTATTATTTATTTATCTGCTACAAAAATGGTTCACAGTTATTATTTACATCAACAAAACTCACCTCCTTAACAGCACTTAAGGGACATAAAGGCCATTACTACCGCTTTCTCGTTCAAAATATTGTAATAAATTTGCGATGAGTTTTTTACGGCTATTAAGCTATCTTGTACAGGATGGGTCAAATTCGACGCTTTTAAATGGAAACACCCTTTTCTATAGGAGATAGACAAAAACTAATATTGGTGTCTGGAGCTCAATTTTTGTCAAAAACATGATGGTGAAAACCGCATATCGATATCAAAACCGCATATCAATATCAAAACCGCATATCGATATCATCGGGACATCTCTCATAGCAAATATTATTTTCGTTTTAATCGATGCTCACAGCTAGATTTTCTTGCATTACAGCCGGTTCCGTTCAAAGCCTACTTATTTAAAGAGGGCGTTTATTATAAAAAAAATTATATACTCTATATCTCGAAGAGGAATCGAGCAAAATATCAAGTGTGTTATATTTTTGGAAAGGTAATTTTAAATTCTTTTCAATAAATTAAAAATATACAGGGTGTCCCATATAAAAAATCAAATTTTCTGTTGATAATTCTTAAATTATTAATTTTACAAAAAGTATACTTAAACCATTAAATTCTACGTAAAAAGGTGCTTTGGAAATGTCTTCATAGAAATACAAAATTTTCCATAGCAAAAAAGTTACAGAGATTTGTTAAAAATGCACATTTTTGAAAAACGCCCCGTAACTCCGAAATGGTAACAGATATTGATGTGCGGTTTTCACCATCATGTTTTTGATGAAAATTGAGCTCCAGACACCGATATTAGTTTTCCTCTATCTCCTATAGAAAAGGGTGTTTCCATTTAAAAGCGTCGAATTTGACCCACCTTGTACACTTCAAAAATGTCTTAAAAAGAACAATGTTTGACTGCAAGGTTTGCTACTAAACATTTTTAAGCTTAAAGTATCACAACACTATTTAAACCAAAAACTCCTAATATAAAACTAAAGTGTCAAAACGAATGACAATGTCAGGAAATAAATAAATGTTGTAACTTGATATTTTTGTAGCAGAGCTACCACCTGAATACCCAGCGGAAAATTTAAATTTCAGTTAGCCCGGCACCGAATATGTCCATGGTTTGCAACACTGAAATTAAAAATCACGCCCTCGATTACGTAACCAAAAGGTTAATTGGTATCAAATATGCCTACAAAATAATAAACAAAATTAACTATCTGTTTAGGTTTCATTTTCATTCATAAGAATGCCTAAATTACACCTTATATTGTCAGCAGGGTTCTTTTAACACTATACCTATAGGTAGACCCCTAAAGATTGTTCAAATGTAATTTCCTTCATTGTAAAACCCCTCAAGCTTCCATAAATTCCTTTTTACGATGGACTATTATTGTGGTGTATTGACAGTAATTCTATAGAGACCCTTTTTCTGATATTTAACAATTTCTGTGAATAACCTGTGAAACTTGTTTTATGGTCAACTTGTTTTGTGACCATCAAGTAATCGTTTTTGAGGTAGTTTGAATTAAGCTATGGTATTATGTTATAGGTATACAGGGTTGTTCACCACATACGACACGGAGTAGTGCAGCTAAACGATTAGTCCTTTGAAGGACACTGAAGAACACTACTAAGAGGCACAATTTGAAAATATTTTTACTTTATTAAATTTAGTAATAAGAAATACTTCAGTACAATATTTGGTTTTAAAAACTTAAGCACGTCTAGAGAAATGAAACCTTAAAATTTTTACTGCAATTTCACAAAATTGAAATTATTTCAAAAATGGTAAGGTTTAATGTGATAAACCTTAATCAAATTACCTTTATTTTAATCGTAGAAACTAAAAATGTAATAATATACAGGGTGTTTCATTTAAAAAATACAACTTTGATATTTTTTATTTATTTGGGACACCGTGTATCTTGTAAACATATTTTTAAATTGTAGCTCTAATAGTCGTTCAACGAACCCAAAACTTACATTTGGCAAACATTTAATCGTTTAGCTACAATATTTATAAATTATGATCGAAAAAAAACGGCGTCAGCGATGGCTATGACAGGAAGATCGTTGACATTTTATATGTAAAATTATATGGGGAATATCATTGATGTTTATTTCCAAGCCAACTGGACGCCGCGCCGTTTTTGACGGAATACCATTGCTGAAGGCTACGGTTGGAAATCCACGTAAACAAAGTATGCCTCGTCCAGATTAGTTCTGGTTAGTGATGTAAAATTATTGGTAATTTATAAATCGGTAATATTACCGGTAATATTGGTAATTTATAAAAAACGGCTTTTTAAATCATATTTTTTATTTCAAAACTGTAAAAATAATTAAAAAAAGACAAATCCGTTTTTTAAACTAGTTAGAATGGCCCATGTTTATAGTACGTAATAGAGTGGATAATGGTAAATCATCCCCAATTTAGTCATTTGGTTCTTCTTTCTCTTGTTAATTGAGTCAATTTTATTACTTCGAAATCGATATCTTCTCCATTTAATAAATTATAATTATGGGCAATATATTATAAGTAAGTTTTATATATACTTATATTATATTAGTTGAAGCCTGGCGCATCCGCCACGACATCAGAAAAAAAATACTTTTTTTTAATTAAATGAAAAACAAAAAATTCGGCGACGACAGTTTTTAGAAGAACAAATTAGCTATCTTTTAGTAAAAAAAAGTAACTTTCTAGAACAAGTCGTTACTTCAGTAGAGACGACACAGATAAACATTAGCATTTTATATATGTAGATATGACACCAATGCCAAATTGCATTAAAAAGAACAATTAAGAAGAGATCTTTTATATTTTGTAACTGGAAAAATATTGTTTATCGTTTTTTTTAATAAAATTAGCTATGAAATATGCTCCTATTTTTTTGAACGCAGGTAGCAAACCTTATATTCTCCGTCTAGGAACTAAGGGAGGGTAAAGCTGCAAGCTGGGGTGCTTGCTCGGGACGAAAATTTAAGAGGGTGTCAAATACAATATTTGATAATGTATTCTTGAATCTTTTAAAATTCTTATCGATAAAGGGGGCACACCCAATTCAAAGCGCCGCAAATTGCTCATAATATTCATGGTAATTTAACTAGGTATTCCTGGTAATCCAAATGTTTAACTAATTTAATTACTTGCTAAGTTAACATGTTCCATGAACAAAAGTACAGAAGGTGTTGTAGTTTTAAGACAACATAATAATAATTCTCTTTAAATATCTTTCAATCCTTCCATATTAGGAAATTAACAACAAAAATCAAAGGAAGCGATCCACAAAACAATTGTGCCCATACGCGGTTCAGAAAATCACTATAATAAATTTGAAACTGTACGAACCTTGATTTCATGCATATTTTCATTGATAGGTTTGTAGCTTCTGAATAAAGGTCTAGGTAAAGCATCTAGCTCATTTGTCAGCTCAGAATTAGAATTTAGAGTTAGTAACTCGCATTTTCATTGGAGGACACTGTCATAATTATTTCAAACCAATAATCAACGAGAATATTCGTATAATTTAATAAAATTACTGTAAATCACTATAAATAACGCATTGTTTGTAATTGATCTGTATTTTCTGTATTATTAATCCGGTAGATGATGAAAATAAACAATTGTGATTGATTAAAATTTTATTTTAAGATTAAACTTTTGTTAACAACATTCTAAGAATTCGAATAATGAATTGAATTATGACAAGTGCATCTGTCTAAAAAAGACAGCGATTTAGAGTGACAATTTGGTTATGTAAAATTTAGAGTGACAGTTTTGATTATGCAAAAGAAATACATATTCTATGAGTTTACAGGTTGCCTAACGATTAACATTAATTTAAAAATAAATCCCCAACATGAATAATAAACAAAACATTTAAACAAAAACAGACCAAAGACTACACAAAACAAATTGTTGGTTAGTAGCAGTTAGTAATAGTCAGAGATCTAGATGTAGTAGTATTTTGGTTTAATATCCACAGCTCTCCGGCCGGGTAATAGAATTATAGTTTTTTAATAAAAATTAAAAAAAAACATAAAATTATAAAGCTAGAATAGTATAACGGTTTTATATTAACTCTAATTTTCTTGAAGTTTATAAAAAGCATTCATAAAAAATATATATCGTTCAAATCCATCAATTTAATAGCTGTTAGTAAGAAGTTTTACTTGAAATATGCGCACATAGTACACACACAATTTTTTTAGCCGACCATACAAATTAAGATGATCAAAATGAGTTATTTGGGTCATAAATGACCTAAATACAAAATATTTTCATGGTGTCTGTCTGTCCGTCTGCCGTCTGTAACACGATAACTCAAAAACCGCTAAACCGATTTTAACCAAATTTGGCACAAAAATACTGTGGCATCCAAGAATCTGGCCATTAGTTTTTGGTGGGGGTGGGGGGTTGGTAAGGAGGTATGGGAGGGGGTTAAAAATTTAAAAAAATCGTAACTCCAAAATTACAGTAGCTAGCGAAACGCGGTTTTCAATTTAAGATTAGGAATAATATTTGCAACAAAATTTGTAATACCATCAAAATCAGTCAAAGTCGCAGTTTTTGAGATAAAAAAAATTGGAAAAATTCCCTTACTTTGAAACTAAAAGAACTGCCTACCAACGTTTTATTAACATATTTAGTATGGGCGGCTATACATACCTCCCGGCGCCAATTTTTTTACTTTAGTGCATAGAAACATTTGTTTCCACTTTGTATTCGGATTTCTCAGGGGCGGATACAGGAATTTATTTTAGGGGGGGGGCCAAAAAAAAAGTAACGTAGAGTATGCTTTTTAGAGCGCCATTTTTAACCCAAAAGGGTAATATTTAGCAAATTTACAGATTTTAGGGGGGTCCGGGCCCCATGGCCCCCCTCTGTATCCGCCACTGGGACTTCTTTTAGTCCTAGTATATTGCTATTGCTACAATTGCTATTACCACTGCTGCCATTGCTAGCGTGCAATCTTCGCTATTTTTTGCAAATTTTCATATACCTACATGATTATGTACCTAGTCGATTGGTTGTTAAATGAACAGGGAGTGCTGTCCCGCTATTGCTATCCTACAAATAAAAAAAAATTGGCTCCGGGGGGCACGTATAGCCGCCCATACTAAAATATGTTAATAAAAAGCAATTTTTTTATCTCAAAAACTGCGACTTTGACTGATTTTGATGCTATTACAAATTTTGTTGCAAATATTATTCCTAATCTTAAATTGAAAACCGCGTTTCGCTAGATACTGTAATTTTGGATTTTTTAAAATTTTTAACCCCCTCCCACACCCCCTTACCAACCCCCCACCCCCAACAAAAACTAATGGCCAGTATTTTTGTGCCAAATTTGGTTAAAATCGGTTTAGCGGTTTTTGAGTTATCGTGTTACAGACGGCAGACGGACAGAGAGATAGACACCATGAGAAAATATTTTGTATTTAGGTCATTTATGACCCAAATAACTCATTTTGAGTGAAATTAAAAAAACTTTTTTTGCCGATCTTAATAGCCTACCATACCCTGTTGGTATGTATGGTCGGCTAAAAAATAACATGAAATTACATCGAGAAAAAAACTTTAAAACCACAAAGCAAAATAAACATTATTTCTTGGATCAGGTTGCGTTAGTGATAGTCCAGTTTGGTGTATTGTGTTTAAATGTTGAAAAAACTCATAAACTCTTTCAGAATCTTTCATTAATTTTAAATTTTGCTACTTACTAAAAGGAATCATTTCATGATACGTTATCTTTGGTTTAGTTCTAAAAAATTGTTATAATTGTTTATAGTGTTTTTTCTTCTTTTCAGTTCATTCATATTGATCTTGAATACAAAATGTCGGCAGCCATGGACATGTTTCTAAGCGCGTCGGATTCTCTACCGTTTCCGGACGTGTTGGACATCGATATCAAATCAGAAATAGACACTCTAGTTGGTCACAACGATTTCTCCGGATACAGTTTCAACAACATTGAACCTCTAGAATTCGAAAACGAAATCAAATGGTTCAACTCGAATTCGAATCACTCGATCCTGGATTTCAGCGGTGACGATGGCCCCACGATGGTCAATCCCAATGCCGTTATGCCTGTGATGACGATCGCTTCGTCGAACGTGGGAAGAAGTCCGTCGCCTTCCGTCAACCAAAGCCACCTTACGTTTTCACCGTCGTTAATAAAAATCTCCTCTCTCAAAGTAAGTATTTGATAGACGGTTATGAGTGGGAAACAACTTATTAACCATTAGGTAACTAGATAAAATCATTAGATGTGTTACTGAGCATCTGAAATGAAATTATAAGAATATCGTTAGGGGGTCCATTTTTATAACGAGAAAACGACAGTAATCGCGATAATTTAAAAACTCAACTTTTTAACACATAACACGCCATAATTAAAAACCACTTTAGACATTGAAGCTTTTTTATTTTGAAGATCGGATCATTTACAATATATTTACATAAGAAAAATTCGATAAGGTTGTTTTTTTTCATTCTAAAATTTTAAACAACCCATTCATTAACTTTTAGTGCATAACAGTTTTCAGTAATCGTGTAACTTTTTTATTTATAAAGATTAAAAGAAGAAAGTTTTTGCAAAACTACAATCAATTATTTCTAATAGATTTCGAGATATCGATTTTTGAATTCAGAGTTCTAATAGCGCGACCACTGTCGAACACCAACTCAATACCACTTATTTTTATCAAAAATGCAAGTGTTTCTAACTTGCACTTAAACATTTTCAAGCTATAGGGAAAATTACAACGACCCGTTAATAAATAAACAAATAAAGTATCACGAGACCTAATTAAATCGTGAAGCTGAACGCATGATATACACCTTTCCATAGAACTGTAAGTAGTTACTGATTGGGTCAACCGGTCGACTGCGACAAATCTGCCAGAGTAAGTAAACCGACGAGTAGCGACAGTCCCGTTTTCAATTTTCTTTGCGGCTGCGCGAAATAAGTAGGTTATCTGTCATATGAAGAAGCGAAGTTGCCACTGTTGCATTTATCAAATATCTCTATGTACCTTATTTCAAGTATACCTCAGGCAACGAATCGTTTTTTTAATTATTTATTAGCTGTAAGATATTTTATACATTCAAATTTAGAAATAAGGATAAGAGACAAAACAAAAAAAAATATGTATAAAACTTTATAATTAATTCCTCTTCAAATTATGAGCAGTGTATACCATGTTTATAGGACCACTTCATAAGTTGAGCAGTTAAATACGTAGTCTATCTGTCAAACACGTCAAAAGAGAGAGAAAGAAAATTTGGTCCCACCACATCAAAAGAGCCGACGGTTTCTGTAGCTACTCGGCGATCTACTTACTCTGAATCTGCTATATCCCCTTCCACGTCTCTTAGCGATGTGCAGTTTCTCCGTTTATTTCATACGTTTGGCAACGTGTTTACTGTACTCTTCTTACATACGGAAATCTCGACCCAAGACAAACCTTTGCCAGCCCTTAGTATAGGGTGATTCACGGCGATGGTACGTTAGACATTTCTGGAGAACCGCTAAAATACCAGCGTTACAGTGTTGCCGGATCTTATATATTATTAAATTTTTGGAAACTACTTTCATACCTTATAATTTTTCTATTATACAAACCTATACCTATCTCTTATAGTTTTCGTAATAAAAAATAAACTGTGTAAAATTGACAAAAACATGATCTTGAATAAGCATTGGTAAAAGCATGAATTGAACATTTCTAAAGTTGAAATTTGTGATATAAGTCGAAGTCGATATATTCGATCTACCTAAATCAACCGATTGGATAATACACAGAAAGAACAAAAAAGTATTTATTTCCGTTTGTTATAAAAATGCCCAAATATATTCTGTTATATGTATATTCAACCCTATTTTGTATATCACAAGATGAATAAAATTGCTTTTTTGAATGATATTTCAAGTTCCTATACCTAAATCTTATTTACTGAATTATCTTTATTTTACTGAATAAACCAGAAGGTTTAGGTATAGGAACATGATATATCGTTGGAAAGTAATTTTATTTGTTTCAATTTTTTAAATAATGTACATAGGCTCAAATTTAAATAACAATGATCTGGGCGATATTACAGCCAACGGAAATACATATTTTTTTTATTTCCCTGTTTGATATCCAATCAGTTCTATTAGACGACAGATCGAATATTCATAGAAAAATTTAATAATATACCAGGTGTTCCATTTAAAATAAAAAAGATGCCATCACTTTTACTATGAAGCGGCAACTGTACTGCTGGAAATAAATGCAAAAATATCTGTGTTATGCAAAAATCCAAATTTCCAAAAAAATCCGATCTCCTGTTCTCCATAAACGTCTAACGTACCATGCCCGTGAATCACCCTGTATACACTGCATATTGTATTATATTGTACAAAAAATCGTGTTTTTATCCTCAATAAAGTATTAAGCCTAAAAATAATAAAAATATTTAAATAACAGAGATTGATATTTAACCAAACATCATTTAACGAGTATTATATAATATGTATTTTTTTAGACTGACACCTCTTCAGTAAAGAAAGATCTCCTGAACAGACTAGAAGGCTTCGACACTACACAAAAGAAACATACCCCCTCTCCTGTGATGCCCATAACTAAAGTGGCACCGATCTTAGCCAAACCAGCTTTGGCCAAGCCCATCACCCTAAAAACCACCAACTCGAACCCGACAATTTTGATAAGAAATCCAGTGAAACACATAACCACACCAATCATCACTCAGCTGGGCAGTATAACGACCATAAGAGCCCTACCAGCAAACGCCCTATCTCATGCGATTCATCGAAAATCCGTCAACGTGACGAAACCCGTCGATCGTACCACAGAGGATCACCGAGCTTATCCCAAGCCGGCCTACAGCTACTCGTGTCTCATAGCGATGGCTTTGAAGAATAGCAGATCGGGCAGCTTACCCGTTTCCGAGATCTACAATTTTATGTGCAAGCATTTCCCGTATTTTAAGACGGCGCCGAACGGATGGAAGAATTCCGTAAGGCACAACTTGTCGCTGAGCAAATGCTTCGAGAAGATCGAGAAACCGGCGCTGAACGGTACGCACCGGAAAGGATGTTTGTGGGCTATGAATCCAGCTAAGATCAGTAAAATGGACGAGGAGGTGCAGAAATGGTCACGGAAGGATCCTAGTGCTATTAGGAAGGCTATGGTTAATCCAGGTATGTAACAATGATCTGTTTTCTACCGGGCGTTTTTTTAAAAATAGCTCACCTTCAGAGGCGGATTCAGGAATTTATTTTATAGCAATATAAAAAGTAATGTAGAATATGCTTTTTAGGGCGCCATTTTTACCATTAAAGCTTAATATTTAACCCAATTTATAGATCTTCGGGGAGGCCTAGGCCTCATGGGTACCGCCACTGCTCACCTCTAGGTATAACTTTTTTATTTTTTCAGATAAAACAAACATGAGTTGAATGACAGTGACATTTTAATGCAAAATTAGATTGCTTTTATCTTATATTTTTTGGATTTATTCATCGTTTTTCTTCTATAGTCTGTCCAGCTAGTCACGGAAGATTTCGACAGACATCCAGAAAATGACACCTGTCACTCATGGATCCCTCTCGTTGGACATACTATACACGTTTGTCCTCAATCGTTTTATTACCACACTACTAATATTAATATAAAAGGATAAACTATTTAACTTTAAATACTTCCAAACCTATAAAGTATACAGTATTTCTTTGGATTGACTTTACAAGAGGAAATATTTTTTTATTAACTTTTTGAGAAAAATTTATTTGTACAAAAGTTTTTGCTTCTTCCAAAATGGTTAATCCATGCTAGTCTAAGAGCTGGCAACGTTTTCGAGAAAGTATTTTAAGAAATCTGACTGATATATCTTACTATGCTCTCTAGAACAGCATGCGGGCCGTCTGGCTGCCGATACACGCTGCGTTACACTATATATATAGGTCACACTATATATACGCTGCGATACACATGCCGTTCACTACTGCGCATCGGAAGAAGATCCTATATTTTTTTAATTTAGTCCGCCAAATTCTAGTATTGAATATAAATCGAACAAGTTTCCACAGCGCCAGCGCAGCGCGCAGAGGTTCCGTCTATGAAGTGAGGAGTCCGAGTTCGAGATCTGCTCGGGGTATAAAACTTTTTTATTTTATTTTCGTTTATATTCTGATAGTAAAGTATTAAATGTTCGTTTTTTTGAATCATCAGAATTATTTAATACTGTACTATCAGAATATAAACGAAAATAAAATAAAAAAGATTTATACCCCGAGCCGGTCTCGAATTCGGACTCCTCGCTTCATAGGTTTGGTTTTTTGTTGAACCTTTTCGCGCCGCGCTATGGAGACTCGCTCGATTTATATTCAATACAAGAATTTAAAGGACTAATAAAAAATATATGATCCTTTTTCAGTGCGCAGTAGTGAACGCAACGTTTACCGGCAGCTAGACGGCCCGCACGCTGTTCCAGAGCGCATAGTAAAAGATATATCAAAGAGCCAGGTTTATTAAAATACTAGTGTTCCCGACGCGCGACGTTGCTAGCTCTCGTACTATGCTGTCTTAAGAAAAAAATATTCAAAAATATGAAAATTTTCAAAGCACCAAAAATTATAACGCATTTCTATAGGAATATCATTTTTAGGTTTTCATTCTTTGATAGAAGGTTATTAATTTTGTCATATTTTTTATTGTTTTAATATGTTTAAGAAGCACAAAATTTATTTGGTTCAATATTATGGAAAAGATGATAAGTTTTGTGTTTCAATAGCAAAAAAATAGCAGTGATGTTAATCAAAATTAATACTATACTAACCATCTGTCAAAGAATAAAACCGACATTATATTCCCATAGCGTTTTGGTTTTTAGGTCATTTTTAGGAAAACAATTCAACTGTATTTTTGTATTTTTCTGGAAAACAGTATGGAAATTTGGCAAAGTATAAACGGGATTAACCAATCAAAAACTTGTAAAAATCATTGTAAACACAATCCCGGGACATACTGTATATGTATAACTGCAATTTTAAAATTCATATGAACAGTACGCGTCTTAAGCCGGGTCTCCACCAAAAGAACATAGTGTCGACAATGTTGCTGAAAATTCAGTAATGTCGTCGACATTTTATGTCGCAGATTTAAGTCGCCGACTTTGTTTCATGTTTCGCTTGAGAAGCGGTACATCAAAGAAAAATCGTGTCGACGACAATGTTTATAAATATGTCGAAAGACGTCTTCGCCGAATCAACTCCTGTCAGTAACTTTATCGGGTATATTTTGCCATTTGTACTCGTGTAGTTCACAAGGCCAGAAGTTTGTTTTTGTTTCTGTTGCTAAAAATAAATTTGGTATGGAGTATAATATATAATGATAAAACAAGAACTCTGATTGAAAAATATCAAGCCCACCCCGAACTTTGGGACACTAAGCATAATTGGTATAAGAACAGAAATATAAAGTATGATGTCTGGGATATTACAACTAGTTTAGAAGTGGAGAGGGTGGAAGTTGAGAAAAAAAATAAAAAATATCACCGGACAATTTTTTAGAGAGTACAAAGATTTGAAATGATAAGGAATGCGCTAAATATTTAATTTTTTTTTAAATTTATTTAAACACTTTGGCTCTTTAGTCGATAAATGAAGTCGAGCAACAATAGTTCTTTGGTAGGTACCATCTACATTTCTCGACAATATTTATGAAAATAGTAACAAAAGTTGATGACAATGTCGTCGACATATGTTGCTTTGGTGGAGACCCGGCTTTAAACATAGTAGTTATAAAAATAAATTGATAAATGTTAGTGGTTAGTTGTATATCTGATGTATAAGTATTCTTTTTAATTAAATTTTTTTTTTGTTTGACAGAACATTTGGAACTCCTGGAACGTGGCGAGTTGAAGTTTTCGTGCTCGTATGACGATGAAAACGACAATTTCGGCGATTCTTGCGGATCTGCGGAAAGTGGCGAGGGTTCGGATTCCGAAGAAGAAGTAGTTCACGAGGAAATTGAAGAAGCTGATATCGATATAGAGGGAGGACAATTTCATTATATTCAAGTTGGAGAGGACGAGATTGAAGAATATGAGGAAGTAAGTTCAATACACCCCGGGTGTCATCGATATCGTTGCACAGACCGCCATTTCTTTAATTTTTGTCAAATAAATTTGGAACTTAAGTACACATCTCACATATTTCATTAAAAAAAACTTCTTGTTTAATTGGAAATTAAAGCGAAAAATTTAAAACACAAACTATGTTTTAGCATATTTAGAGCATAACATTTTCTGTTTTTATACTGTATAATGAAAAAAAAAACGTCGTCCATTTCACGTGAAAATGATGATGGATTACATTTCCTATAAGATTTTCGTTCCTATGGTATGGGTCAAAAGCGTTTGTTGATTTTTAATATTGAGTTGCCAAAATAATTTGTTCTAAAACAAAAGTTCGTTTAGTTTTTGCATAAAATGTCATAATTAATCTAGATTTTCTTGACTTTTTAAAACAAGAAATGATAAGTATATAAAATTAAAGTATAAAATGAAATGTGTCTACCTGTAGAAAAATGGGTCATACAATACCAATTTTGCTGGCGCTCTTATGTTTTTTAACTGTTTTTTTTATTAGAAAGAAAAATACTGAACCATTAAGCTCAAAATGAAATACCAAAAAAGGCAAAGTAAAGTTCATATCTTTTACATATTTTCTTTTAATGAAAATATTTTAGGAAACAAAAATAAAATAATTATAAATACATAAACAATTATTATTTACATCAACAAAACTCATCTTCTTAACAGCACTTCAGGGACATAAAAGTCCATTACTACCGCGTTCGCGTTCAAAATATTTTAATAAAGATGCGATGATTTTTTTACGGCTATTAAGCTGTCTTGTACACTTCGCACTAAAATAGGTTCTAAAAAGAACAATGTTCGACTGCAAGGTCTGCTAGTAAAAAAAATTAAGCTTTAAATATCACAACACAATTAATTTAAACCAAAAACTCGTAATACAAAACTAAAGTATCAAAACGAATAACAATGTCAGGAAATAAATGAATAAATGTGGCAACTTGACATTTTTTCCAGGAGCGCTACCACCTGAATCCCAGCGGGAAATTTAAATTCCAATTAGTCAGCCTGGCGCCGAATATGTCCATGGTGACAACAATAAATTTAAAAATTGCGCCCTAGATTACGTAACTAAAAGTTTAATTGGTATCAAATATAGATGAACTTTTTTAGCAATGAATGCCTAATAATCTAAAATGCTATTATTTTAAAACTCAGAGAAAAAATTATCTTGACTAAAATATTTTGGATTTTTTTACAAAATTAAAACATAAGGTAGTAGATTAAATTTATAAGAAAGAAAACTCATTTTTTTTAATTTTCAAAGTTTATTTTTAGTTTTGTTTATTTTCACAGTTATTTTGGACTTATTTGCAAAACGGTAAAGAGAAAATATGTTTCTTTTATCGAGATCTACCAGCCCTGAAAATATTTGCACTTATTGAAGACTCGACCTGTATAAGAAAACTTGTTTGTCGCAATGAATTCATTTATTTGGCGAAATTCATACAATTATAAAACATAGAGTTTGATTAGGTTAGGTTAGGTTAGGTTCATTTGTCATAAAATACAGCGAAAAATATAGCGTCAAACTCCCCCGTTATCTATAATGCAGTCACAAAACATCCCCCTTTAGAACTTCATCTGTCATGTTAAGAAATGAAATTAAATAATAAAGCGCCTCTCGTGTTTGTTCGCATACTAAAAATTTCAATTAGTGCCTGCCTGTATATATTTTTAAAATTTAAATTTTTTTAATTGTAAAGTAATATATTACATTTAAATGGAATATATTACATAACAATTATGTCAATTACAGGATTACAGGCTTGTTTTCTAACATTTTTTAAATAAAACGAATTATAAAATTTCAACATAATATTATGTATATTTGTCGTAGGTATGAAAAAAGTAAAATATAAAATAGACAAACGTTTACTTATATTGCAATAAAACTTCTACTTTTAGCTTTTAGTTTTGCAATCCAAACACAATATTTCTATTTCACAAATAAAATTATCCGACAACACTAAAATTACTGAAACTTCCACGGCTGACAACGAAAACTGAAAAATATAATAGCACTTTGTGTTTTGGACCTGCATATCAACATTACGCTGTACCATTATGTTTTTGTTTTTGAAATAATATAAAATATCTAATTATAACTTGCGAATTTTAATATTTTAACATGATTTTTTTAACTATTTCTGACAATAACTAACTTTTTGTTATCAAGAGGACTTTTTAGACAGCAACTGACATATACAGGGTGGTCCGAACTGTATTCCGGAAACTTCGACAACATATTCTGCAGATAAAAATAAGTAAAAAAGTTCGTTTAAATATATGTCCTAAAATGCTTAGTTTCACAGATACAGGGTGTAGAAGTTTCATTTTTATTTCGATTTTTTCTAAATAATTTCTGACGTAACGTCAATATTTAGATGAAAGTTTGTTTCTGGGTGTTTTTTGACATGAGAAATTTGATTTTGATGTCAATATGACTCTTACTAGTAGAGGGCGCCACCTACATGTGTTTTAACTGTTTTGAAGCGTAATAACTTTTTGTCCGTACCTGTATAAAACTACCGAGTGAAAAAATATTACTCCAAACCAAACCAGTTAAAAAATATGTAGGTGGCGCCCTCAACTAGTAGGAGTCATATTGACAACAAAATCAAATTTCTCATGTCAAAAAACTCCCAGACACCAATTTTCATCCAAATATTGATGTTATTTCAGAAATTATTTCGAAAAAATCGAAACAAAAGTGAAACTTCTACACCCTGTATCTCCGAAACTAAGCATTTTAGGACATACATTTATACGAACTTTTTTACTTATTTTTATCTGCAGAATATACTGCCGAAGTTTCCGGAATACAGTTCGGATCACCCGGTGTATCATGATATTTTCATTTTAAATATGTATGTAATTAATTTAATATAATGCAACTTTATACTAAGAAAACATTTATACATTCACAAAATACAATAAGTCTAATAATATAGTTTGAAAACAATGAAAAATGAATTAAAATTTAAAAAAATTAAGCGCGACCCCTTGTGTTAAAATTAGTTGATTAAATTTTCGCAATTTTTTCACCATTTGATGGCCAGTGGCGCCTCTAGTGTTTGTTCGGACGGTTAGTCTTTTACTCCCGTTTATGGCCATTAAAGAAAAAGTTCTAGAGGGGGATTTTTTTCTGAATGGCAGTGCAACTAAACACATCTGTCTTTTAACTACATACTTTTAAATTTCTTAGGTGACGGAATATTCCCAATACGAGGACGATATGGAAGGAGACAAACAATTATTACGAGTAGAAATGGCGCTCGCCCAAAAAGAACTTGACCTGGAATACGAAAAAACCATAAACAATAAACGAAGACGAACTTATATAGTGCAACAACATTAACTGGTATGTAGTTGGCAATTCGTATTGTAATTAAATATTACGTGTATTATAAAATGTAGTATGTTTTTTATTGTAAAAAAGATTGATTTTGTTAAAAACAATTTGGAATTGTTTTAAAGGGGGTTAGCGGATATAATAAAATTTGATGTTAAATAGATGTTTTGAAAAGCTTACAAGTCAAGTTCTTTGAATTTTTACCTATTAAATTATTATTGATATTTGTACAACATAAATATAATGTAAAATTTCAAACTACAATACATATTGAATGTCCATACTTTATTTACTTATGTACCATTTAAACAGTTTAAAATGACCTACAACAGCTTACTTCGGGTTTCTCTTATTACCGATTCTGAACCGTCCTAGAACTGTGATGCGTATGCGCAGAAAAAAATATGAAGACATTTCATTTGCGCATGCGCTGCCGTGTTCTAGGACGGTTCAGAATCGGTAATAACAAGAACCCGAACAAAGCTAATAATTTTAATATAAATTTAGGGTATTCTTGCTATTGAAGCACCTGCGTTTTCAGCTGTAATAACATTATTTTAATGCAGTTTGAATATTTATTTAAGGAATTACTAAAATACATTATTTCGCATTTTTTGCAATACATACCTTCTTTATTTTACAGTTACATTTCAAATTTCCTGTGAGTGGAAAACTATAGTTAAGAAACGAAGAACTACTACGCTCCATTTGTGGTGACGTCGTGTTGCGGAAGGTCAGTGTCGCAAAATCTAAACAAAGCCTTTGACAAAGCATGAATTAACCCACTATTAATCCGTTTTTTTCTCGTTTATTATTATATTACTGTTTTCTTAAGGATAATTGTATTTTTCCAAGTAAGTACATTTAATTTTTAACCGTACCAGTGCACTTTATAGTTAATAAATTCTATAATACTATGGAAATTCGTGTTCTTTATTGTTTTAACATAACCTCATATTACATATCCCTATATGTATCCTTTTGTGTAATTATACGTATAGTAAACGCTTATATACTTACTCAGAAAGAAAGAAAAATAAGAAAAATTAGATTATCCCATTATATTCTTGCAAGATTCTTGCTTTGTTTGGATTTTGCGGCACTGACCTTCCGCTACATGACGTCACACTAATGGAGCGTCTTAAGAAATGAAACATTATATCGAAACATTTTCATTTACTTAATATTCTTAAATCTTTCATCTAGTGCTATAGTTTCGTAGCCATTTTATGTGACAACTGGGTTACTCTAAATTGGTGGTCCGTTTTTTAATGAGTAAGATAAAGATGATAATACCTAATTTACATTATATCCAGTTGAGACAGAGACAGACAGATATGTGCTGTAAGGCGTAATTAAACAGTACACTTGAGGTGGAACTATATTTTATTATAATTTCTAAAATAAAGCAAAATAATAGTATATTGTTTTATTAGGAGCAAAAATGACACTTTTTGTGGCCAGGCTGTACGTTTGACATTACAGGCGAGACACAAAAAGTCATTTTTACTCTGATTAGAACAAGCTATTTTTTTCAGATAAAAACTAATACTTTATTATAAGTATTTTTTTTGCTTTTCATTTTGTTAGAAAATACCTTAATGTTTTTAGTGACACACTTGTATCTCAATTGTAGTTAAGACGTTTTTCCTTAACACGGCAGTATAATAAAAGTTTCTTAGTAGATTTTATTGTTTTTATGGAAAATCCGACAACAGCGCATAGAAAAATCTCTTGAGTATCTTCATCATTTTCTAACACGTTGAAATCCAGACTACCGATTTCGGATGACCAGAGCTGTATAAAGTTTTAAAATATTTTCACTGAGTTACAAAGCTTTTCAAAACATGGTCCTTATATATTTAAACTAACTTTAGCTAATAAGTTAGTTTAGTCGACGTTGTATACGTTGTTGCGTGCTTTCGAATCTACTTTATAATAATTATCTAATGTCGACTACTTCTTTTACTTGGTGCAAATTCAACAACAGCACGAACTGTTTGGGGACTAATTCTCGAATGTCGATTTTCAATAACAAATATACTGTTCAGAAAGTGTATTTAGCACGATTTCACGTTAAATATACACTATCATAATATTTTCAATGAGTACGTTTTGGCAGCATCGCAAATCTCGTAATTATGACAGTTGTTTTATGGATAGGAAGTCTGGGAAACTAAAAAATAACCCAAGTAGCATTTTTGGACACATTTTAGGTAATGTTTCTAATAATAACTAAACTTTATAACTAAAACTTTTCAGTTGTAATCATCTGCTGATGATGTTAACATGGTTAGCGAAACGCGCGTCCAGTGTAAAACTAAAAGTATTTTGGTGTATTGTAGTGATTTAGTATTTTATCTTGCTGTTGTAACACCAAAGGTTACAACCCCCAACGGTAACAATCATTCATTGTTAAGTCGATGCTAGCCAATGTGTCAAAAATAAGCGTCAGATAATATCAATATGAAACTACTCAAGAGTTGCCATTTTTAGTTGCTAGTTTAGCTCCTAATTAGGCACCAACAATTTTTATGAATCTTATAAATCATTCCTTTTTCGTTCAAATGATATTCAAGAATATCCTTGAGGTTGGAACCGTTGGTGTTGACAGAAAAATAAACCACTAGTTTACCACAATACACCATAATACTTTTAACATTAGACGCGCGTTTCGTCATCCGTGTTAATGCATGTCATCAGCAGATGATTAAAACTATCAGTTTCTATCATCCGCTGATGATGCTAACCTGGTTATCAAGACTCGCGTATTCATAATGGTCTCCATCTAGTAATGTTCCTTTGTTAATTTTTAGACTCTATAATATACAGGGTTGTGCACCGGCGTTAGAAACATAGGAAATTCCATGCAAATTTTGAACAGTTCCGATATTTTCTCCCGTTTATTTTCCAGTGAAGTCGATTATAGTTTTAAAAAAAATTGCAATTAAAAACAATTACAGTATGTGTTAATACAAAACAAGCAAGGTTTTATTTAAAAAAAACACCACATACCAAAAAAGATATAAAAAACATTTCCGATTATTATTTACCTATCGTGTGCTGCTATTTTACAGACACTCCAGTTTTTGGTATCATATACAAGATAGAATATAAACTTTATTTGTAGCTAATACATCTCTCTGGACATTATCTCTGGCAAACTGTCTCTGGCGGTCTCTGGGCACCGAATATTAACTGTAAACTATGGTCTGGGTCAACACTTCAATCTTCCCGCGAGTTTTCCTCCACTTAATTTTAAAAAACAAAATATTTATCGTTTCTATTTGACATAATTTGACACAAAATTATAACCTATAAATTAGCAAGAGTTTGACAACTCTGAAAAATCTTAAGACGAGTTCACACGCATCAGCGTTCGTTTGTCGTTCATCTTTCCGTCAAACCAATAATATTGAAATATGGTCTGTCATTTTTGAAATAAACCAATAAAACTGGTTAAAAACAATAAGAGATGACGCATGACGGATTTATATATAAACCCATCCATAGTTAACTTAAAAAATATTAGCATTTTTTTTAGTTAAATAAATGGAGTGGTATGGACGTCATCTACTTTTTTTCTGTCATCGTCTGTCAAAATCATATGTCTAATAGGTATTATTATGGTTTTGTATAAAAGAAGTTTATTCTCAAGCGATAGTTTAGATCTTCCTATCAACCAATATATGTCGTCTTTTATTTTAAAATCTATTTGCTTACGTTTCTTTACTATGTGTTCTCTCCAGGTAAGCTTAGTATCCAAGTGCATGCTTAAGTACTTGGTAGAGGAAGACTGCGGAATTAGTGTGTTGTTTAAATATACTGGAGGGCACTGGTCTCTATTTAAAGTAAAAGTTACTTGGGCCGATTTTGATGCATTAATTTTTATTTTCCAGTCACGTAACCATGCCTCTATTACATTTAGATGTCTTGTAATATCAAGGAAGCTGTTTCCGGCTTTTTATTGACAGCCATAATTACTGTGTCATCTGCAAAAGTAGCCGTTGTTGTTTCATTGTTTGTGGGAAAGTCTGCTGTAAAAAAGTATTCTGTACTCGACATTCGAGAATTGACACCCTGTATAAATTCAAACATACGTTTCGACGTCGAGAAAAAAAAATATAGCTTTTATTTGCAACTAAGTGTCAAATTTTCATATGGAACGTTGATCCGCCGTAGCAATTATAATCTGTATAAGATGGTGATAATTTTTGTAAATAATGTAACATACATACTTTTCTGTAAGTGTTTAGAAGTAATAATTGTATTTTACTATGGAACTATCAAGACTGCCAACGTTAAATCAGTGCGCACCCTATATTATTTGTCAAAAATTTGAATCATGTATTATCAGAATCAATTTTAAATGCTTTAATTTGTATAATAATGCTTCATCATTTAAATGGATAACGTGTATCTTAAGAATAAGTAACAGTTACTATTCATTGATAACATTCAGTTTCACTGTTAGTTACAGAATAAGTGATCGTTTCTTTTACACAATTCAAATAGATAGTTTAGTTATTCTACTGAACTTAGAAAAGTTTGTTATAAAACTTTGTAGAATTGAATATTCTCCTACTGTTTTTTTTTTGAAAATTAAGGAAGTTTTTTTTAATTCAAAAATGTTTTATGGGATAATAATAATTCTGTATTAAATATTAAATCCCCTTTCTTAGTATGTACTATTTTTAGGTTAGATATTTTGTAATATCTATTTGAACTATGTGATTAGTGAAACCTAGTGTTGATAGGTGCCTTTTTTATACTTTTAATAGAATACATTCTTTTATTTCTGTTATACATGACGGGACCAGTTTAGAGTTCTTTGTGTCTCATTCATCTATTTGTATTACTCATCCTTTTTTTTATGTGTTTTAGAAATCATTCATTGTGATATTGCAGTATTTTGTATGTTCTTCTGGTACTATTTTCTGTAAAAGATAGTTATAGAAGTCTTATTACAAAAAAATCAATTGTTATTTTAAAAAAAATGACTGATTATTTTTAATATTTGTAGGTAAACCTTTATATAAATTAACTGTCTAGAAAAGGTGAGTAATTGGAAAAATTATATACAGTTATTTTACACCATTTTTTATTGTATCTGAAATAAGTATAGTGTAATATATTTTTTATGTTTTACTGTATAATATGTGCCTAACAAATGTCAGGTTATTATTATGTAAAATTTACTAATAAGTATAGCATCTTACTAAAATTCGGGCGGACATGTTAAATTTAACTTTTAAGATACATTTGATTTATAACAAATCATATTTTACAAGAATTGTAAAATATAGTTTTTTACATAAATGAGACTAGTGCTTCTCTAGAGAGTGTGCTGTGATTTTTTATTCTCAAATGTTATACTGAAATTCACGTGTTAGTTTACTTCAATCAAAGTGAATTTATACGATGTTTTCCTTTCAAACTTAAATGTATCTTTAAAGTACAAAATGGCTTTTGTAAATTACAAATGAAAAAATTGCAAAGTATGTTGGAATTTTTTTATTTATGACATAATATAACTGTTACTTTTTCAAGTATTCACCTTGTCTCGAATAATTTTTAAGTAACCCATTTAAAATACATATAAGTTAAATTGTTTGAGAATTTAACAATTGTAATGTTTATTTGGTTTACTTAAATCAATTTCTGTTTCATTTTAGTCTGTATCGTGTTAAGGTCCATGTACAAAATGTAATGTTAAGGCAATTTTACTTAATAAAATGTGATTTTTTGTAAAGGCAGATTTTTTATTAGTAGTATAGCATCAATCTGTATTTTAATGCATGCAACAGAGATAAATATAAATGACTGGTTGACAAACAGAAAGACAAAATATAAACCAGCATACAGTGTTGCCGGTTTTTACGTTTGTATGAAAAATAAAGTTCCAACTCCTAGATGCAACATTTTTCGTTCCAACTCTAGATGCAACGTCTACTTCATTTTTATTTCTGCTTCTTTGCGTTTCTTCTTTTTTGGGGGGAGGTTGGCGTTCACATTGGTGAATTCTTCAGAAAGAGCAGCAAAGTAAACTTTTCGTTGCATTCATCGACCTAACAAAAGCCTTCGACTCTGTAAATAGAGATGCACTTTGGGCAATTATGAAAAAATTCAGAGTACCCAGTTCCTTACAGTGTGTAAAAGCCTCCATAACAACAAGTCGACACGGTCGAGAACTATCGATAGTCCCCACCATCGATAATTATCGATAGTCGGTCCCAGGGGGGTGACAGTAAACCGGAAAATTGGAAACAGTTGTGGCGCGGTTCTACCCAGGCAGAAAGCATGGCCTTCTAGACTGTCCTAGACAAAAATCTGAATATTTCTATATGATTTCTGTCAATTTCTGCTACGGAACATTTTTATGCACGTCGGCGTCCTGTTCTTTTGTCTTTTGTCTGTGTGTCAGCGTCAGCTCCCGAGGCCTCTGGCAAGGTCGGGCGCCATATTAATTTTTGCCATTTAGATTTGATTGGAAGTTTGTTTCTGATATTTCGGCTGAAATTTATAAGTACAAAGATGTTTTTTGATATAAAGTTCCTTGTTAACACTTTAATAAAGTATATATGATATTAATTACATGAAGAAAATGATGAAATCGACGTTTCTGCGTGTAGTAGGTATGGGCCATATTATATGTAAAAATAGGTGATATATTAACTGTTTTTATATTTTTTTAGCTTTAAACCCAAGGATCTTGGGATATTCTTTGCCAAGGATTTTTCCGTATCTGTACTTTAAAGACTGATCTGTGATTTTGAGCAATTGAAAGCAAGTTATACAAGGTAAATTATGATTATTAAACTATTATTAGCCTACATTAATTTTCTACAAGATGAACAGAAATGCGTAATTACATATCACATAGGTACCTATTATGTATTTTCATAGCAATAATGCTATAAATCTATGTATGTAGATTATTTTTAAAATACAAATGAGGTATTAGATGTATATGTATTATATTTTTTATTCATTTTATTTTCATTCAAGTCCTGTTTGATTTAATTCACAAAAGTCTTATGTACCTATATTTATGTTTTTTACATATTTTTTTGATTCCAGGTTTTGTGTGGGTTCCGGTTGCCTTTTTCCTGCTTCCAATTGTTTAGTTTTATGCCCGTGAAGCTGTGAAAACATTTATTTATCTTCAAGTTTCTGTAAGTCAATGCACTGTTACTTTACTAATTCACTTTAACACAGCATCTCTGATATTATTTAAATATTTGATATTGATACAATAGTTTATTGGTTTATAGATCTTTAATTGTGTTGATTTGCATATTTACATTGTTCTAAATTCCAAATAAATATTTTTGAGTAATTTTGTTGTATTATTTACTACTAGAAAGAGTAAAAAGTATATTAACCCTCATTTAAACCTCCTGAACAGCCCGCCATTAAAAACCGGAAACGGATATAAATTTCATAAAATTGAAATTGTCATGTCTATGTCATGTCAAATGTCCCAGCCGCCATATCTGAAAATTAGTTACCCAGGCAGCCACGCTGTTTCCATAATTTAACATTGACTTGACACTTCTTCTTGTATTTATTATTTTATGGTCGGTCCTTTGACCATCGATTATTATCGATAGTGTTCGATAGTCATAAGAGTTTACCAGTTTTTAAGTTATTTTTTAAATAAATTATGTTTTGTGGGAGATTATTGGCGTGAAAAACTAACCCAGACTGTTTAAATAACATTTTTATATTAAATCACCGCCTGCAAATGGAATGGACACATCACACATCACATACGTTTTTTTATATTTTGATTTATGTTTATTATTGTTTATCACATATAAATTAAATTGCAAAATGCAAAGCAAAAATGCCAAATTAGATCCAAAAATCCGTTGGCCGTAAGCTTGAAGTTGACACTGTTGACAGTTAACGTTGACAGTGTTGACACGACATTTGATAATTTTGACAATAATGACATATTTCGGATTGACTAACTGCTCCGAAAACTCGTTTAAAAGAAGATTCTTATTTATTTTCAGCCTATGTTAAAGAACCGATTGGTTGTGATAAAAAAAATAAACCTGAATGTCTTTTCTTTATTGAAACTGGTAAATAGTAATAAAGACATAATTATCGAAAACTATTGATGGTTAGAAATATAATATCGATAGTTTTCGATAGTATAAACTATCGATAAATATCGATAGGCTATCGATAGTTCTCGACCACTACAAGGTAGGGATGTGTATTAGCGTTTGTCCTATTCAACATATTCAAGGCAGCGCTGTCCATTATAGTGGACAGTAAACTGCAGGAAAGAGGAATAGGCATTAGATACAGATACGACGGCGGTCTGTTCAACACAAAAAGACTCAGGGTAAAAACACGTACAAAATTCATCACAGAACTTCAATACGCTGATGACTGCTCTCTAGTTGCAAAAACGTTACAGCAATTACAAGAAATGCTGAACACATATCTGGGCATACGAGGCTTTGGGCCTTAAACTGAACATCAATAAAACTAAAATTATGTACACCCCCCGGAAGATCACAACAATGCTATAAAAATCGGAGAAGAGCTATTAGAATATGTAGCGGAATTCAATTACCTCGGCAGTTTGATTTCGGAAAAGGCCAATATTAAGAGAATTCTGGAAATTAAAAGACAGAGTTGTCTACAACCATGACTTGAGCACTAAAACAAAATTGGCAGTGTACCGAGCAATAATAATCCCCACCATGTTATATGGAAGCGAAACCTGGGGGCCGTACCGCCGACACATGAACGCATTAAACAAGTTACAACAGAGACAACTTACAGCGCTTTCAGATGGAGCGGAACGTCCGTGACGGAACGTCCGCGACTTCAACAGACTACCATGAGTTTATATGAACAATTTCACATGGGCGCGTATGCTCCGTCGTATGCGCGTATGCTCATATAAACTATTGTACATATGCTTGTTCATATAAACTCATGGTACTTGCTCGAAGTCGCGTACGCTCCGTCGCACGGTCCGCTCCATCTGAAAGCGCTGTTAGATTCTTGCGATTTGAAATTTTGATGCAAAATACGGCAATACCGTATAGAAGAAATGTGTCAACCCAACTTTTATCTCTTTT